CCACCTGGTCTCTGTGTATAAGCTGGAAATACATTTGGCCAGTCTGTTAGCTAGAATTTTCGTAAAAATCTTGTAGTCAGAATTCAATAACGCATGATAATTACCGTATTTGCCGGCGTATAAGACGACTGGGCGTATAAGACGACCCCCTACTTTTCCTGTTAAAATATAGGGTTTGAGCTATACTCGCCGTATAAGACTACCCCTCTTCCAACGCACACCAAATAAAAAAAAACATCAGATTTGATTTCAATATGGTATGGTATTTCAGTATGGTATTCCAATGATGGGGTGCTATTCCTCCCACTGACACCAATGATGGGGCATGATTCCTCCCACTGATACCAATGATGAGGCACTACTCCTCCCACTGACACTAATGGTGCCCCATCAGTAGTGTCAGTGTGTGAGGAATAGTGTCCCATCATTAGTGTCAGTGGGAGGAATAGTGCCCCATCATTGGTGTCAGTGGATGAAATAGTGCCCCATCATTAGTGTCAGTGGGAGGAATAGTGCCCCATCATTAGTGTCAGTGGGAGAGGAATAGTGCCTCATCATTTGTATCAGTGGGAGGAATCATGCCCCATCACTGGTATCAGTGGGAGGAATAGTGCCCCATCACTGGTATCAGTGGGAGGAATAGTGCCCCATCATTGGTATCAGTGGGAGGAATAGTGCCCCATCATTGGTGTCAGTGGGAGGAATAGTGCCCCATCATTGGTGTCAGTGGGAGGAATAGTGCCCCATCATTGGTATCAGTGGGAGGAATAGTGCCTCATCATTTGTATCAGTGGGAGGAATCATGCCCCATCATTGGTGTCAGTGGGAGGAATAGTGCCCCATCATTGGTATCAGTGGGAGGAATAGTGCCCCATCATTAGTCAGTGGGAGGAATAGTGCCCCATCGTTGGTGTCAGTGGGGAGAAGGAATAGTGCCCCATGGTTAGTGTCAGTGGGGAGGAGGAATAGTGCCCCATCATTGGTATCAGTGGGAGGAATAGTGCCCCATCATTAGTCAGTGGGAGGAATAGTGCCCCATCGTTGGTGTCAGTGGGGAGGAGGAATAGTGCCCCATGGTTGGTGTCAGTGGGGGAGGAATAGTGCCCCATCATTGGTGTCAGTGGGGAGAATAGTGCCCCATCATTGGTGTCAGTGGGGGAGGAATAGTGCCCCATCATTGGTGTCAGTGGGGGAGGAATAGTGCCCCATCATTGGTGTCAGTGGGGGAGGAATAGTGCCCCATCGTTGGTGTCAGTGGGGAGGAATAGTGCCCCATCATTGGTGTCAGTGGGGGAGGAATAGTGCCCCCCATCGTTGGTGTCAGTGGGGGAGGAATAGTGCCCCATCATTGGTGTCAGTGGGAGGAATAGTGCCCCATCATTGGTGTCAGTGGGAGGAATAGTGCCCCATCATTGGTATCAGTGGGAGGAATAGTGCCTCATCATTTGTATCAGTGGGAGGAATCATGCCCCATCACTGGTATCAGTGGGAGGAATAGTGCCCCATCATTAGTCAGTGGGAGGAATAGTGCCCCATCGTTGGTGTCAGTGGGAGGAGGAATAGTGCCCCATGGTTAGTGTCAGTGGGGAGGAGGAATAGTGCCCCATCATTGGTATCAGTGGGAGGAATAGTGCCCCATCATTGGTATCAGTGGGAGGAATAGCGGCCCATCATTGGTGTCAGTGGGAGGAATAGCACCCCATCATTGGTATCAGTGGGAGGAATAGTGCCCCATCATTAGTCAGTGGGAGGAATAGTGCCCCATCGTTGGTGTCAGTGGGGAGGAAGAATAGTGCCCCATCGTTGGTGTCAGTGGGGGAGGAATAGTGCCCCATCGTTGGTGTCAGTGGGGGAGGAATAGTGCCCCATCATTGGTGTCAGTGGGAGGAATAGTGCCCCATCATTGGTGTCAGTGGGAGGAATAGTGCCCCATCATTGGTATCAGTGGGAGGAATAGTGCCTCATCATTTGTATCAGTGGGAGGAATCATGCCCCATCACTGGTATCAGTGGGAGGAATAGTGCCCCATCATTAGTCAGTGGGAGGAATAGTGCCCCATCGTTGGTGTCAGTGGGGAGGAGGAATAGTGCCCCATGGTTAGTGTCAGTGGGGAGGAGGAATAGTGCCCCATCATTGGTATCAGTGGGAGGAGGAATAGTGCCCCATCATTGGTATCAGTGGGAGGAATAGCGGCCCCATCATTGGTGTCAGTGGGAGGAATAGCACCCCATCATTGGTATCAGTGGGAGGAATAGTGCCCCATCATTAGTCAGTGGGAGGAATAGTGCCCCATCGTTGGTGTCAGTGGGGAGGAAGAATAGTGCCCCATCGTTGGTGTCAGTGGGGAGGAGGAATAGTGCCCCATGGTTGGTGTCAGTGGGGGAGGAATAGTGCCCGATCATTGGTGTCAGTGGGGAGAATAGTGCCCCATCATTGGTATCAGTGGGGAGAAAAGTGCCCCATCATTGGTGTCAGTGGGAGGAATAGTGCCCCATCATTGGTGTGAGTGGGGGAGGAATAGTGCCCCATCATTGGTGTCAGTGGGGGAGGAATAGTGCCCCATCGTTGGTGTCAGTGGGGGAGGAATAGTGCCCCATCGTTGGTGTCAGTGGGGGAGGAATAGTGCCCCATCATTGGTGTCAGTGGGGAGAATAGTGCCCCATCATTGTTGTCAGTGGGGAGGAGGAATAGTGCCCCATCATTGTTGTCAGTGGGGGAGGAATAGTGCCCCATCATTGTTGTCAGTGGGGAGGAGGAATAGTGCCCCATCATTGGTGTCAGTGGGGAGGAGGAATAGTGCCCCATCATTGGTGTCAGTGTGGAGGAGGAACAGCGCCCCATCGTTAGTGTCAGTGGGGGGAGAGGAGCGGCTGCTCCTTCTTTCAGTTCGGCAGCTTGATTTTTGCGGGGCCATTTGGCTCCGCCTCCTCGCCAGTGATTGGTTGCCTGTGTGCGCTGGCGCCCAATCACCGGTGAGGAGGCGGAGCCGAGCGGAGCGCCGCGCGACCATCGAGCGGCCGAACTGAAAGAAGGAGCAGCCGCGCTTCCTGGACCGGATCATCGTGGGACCGGGACCGGAGCCAGGTAAGGTACAGCAGCCCCTCTGCCCACCCCTGTACTTAGTGTCCGTTGGAGGACACCGCCCCTGGAAAAAGTGCCGCCCTGACACACTGGCTCGCCGTATACCGGCGTATAAGACGACCCCCGACTTTTCAGAAGATTTTCAGGGGTTGAAAAGTCGTCTTATACGCCGGCAAATACGGTATCTGGAAGGGAATGGTCCTTATCCGGCTTGGGGATCACTGAAATGTATGCACGAGTAAAATCATCGTGTGGATGTGACCCCTTCAGGAGATCCCGAAACAAAGTCAGAAGGTGGGGGCTAAAGTGCCAATAAAGCACTTGTAATAAGGAAGACAGTCCAGCCCTGGGGACTTGTGAGTAGGAAGATGTTTGACAATATCCAATAATTCTTCAATGGATATATCCGCGTTTAGAGCTGTAACATCGGAAGGCGACAAACGCGGCAATTGTAATGAGTCAAAAAATGCTTCAAAAGCAGCCATCTGAAGGGGAGGGTGAGTATCGGGGGCTAGGAAATTGTAAAGCTTCTCATTCCCCAAATATTGTAGCCATAACATGCGGGTCATATGTGGGTTTGCCATCAGAGTGGAGTAGGTGGCCTGTTAGCGAGAAAGGCTTTTACAGCATCCCCTAGGGGCCATTTCCCAGTACCAAAGTTCGTCATGGTTTCATCATCACACCATTGTAGGGCTGGACGTGTTGGGTATCTATTTACTCAGCACAACCTCCTTTTGTTCCTTTTTCTGAGGTCAAATATTGCATTTGTTAGTGAGATGGCACTAATTCCTATAAAACTTTGTGCCATTGAATCGCCGAATGCACATTTTCAGTTTCAAGCCGATGGTTGGTTTAATATTTCTGCTTGGATGACCTTCTATCCTTCAGTGTGTTCTGTACTCACAAGTGTTATGTAGATGAATCCATGCGTGATGAAGGGATCTAAGGGCTCCACTTATAGAACATTCATTGGACGGAAGAGACAAGTGTCCATCCAGACATTACAAATTCTGGACCTATGTGATTTCCTTTGATTGTCAGCTCCATCTAGTGGTCATAATGCAGTATTTTCCTGAAATACCTCCATCAGTAAAAGGAGCAGAATATGAAATGATGGTCCCTATTTGGAGCCAATGATCATATGAAATAAAAAGTGGGCGAAAGATGTCACAGCCGGGTGAATGCCGGTCACATTTGTTAAACTATTTTTTAATAGATCTCTAAGTGTTTGTGAAAGCTTACACCACCAATGAAGGGTAATGACTCCATTTGTATTCTTCTCCTGCTATCAGTGGCCAACTCAGTCCCACACTTCATCCATGTCTTTGGGGACCTCTGATCTCCTTATGAACTGTTCCTTCCATGATGAAGATCAGCCATGGAGTATATCTGAGGTGTATATCAGGGTGTGCTTCTTCCCCACATGAGAGCTGGGATGTCCAGCAACATTCATCTAGAAGACATTTCCCGCACTCAAGGCACTAATACACCTCCAGGGTTGTGTGGGACCCCTGATGTACAGGAAGACAGGACTTCATTGAGGAAAATTTCCATCACTCAGGACAGGAAAGTGGCTTCTCCCCCGTGTGAGATCTCTGATGTCTGTAAAGACTGGACTTCACTGAAAAACATTTCCCGCACTCAAGGCAGGAATACGGCTTCTCCCCCGTGTGAGATCTCTGATGTGTGTAAAGACTGAATTTACGTGAAAAACATTTCCCACACTCAGGACAGGAATATGGCTTTTCCCCCGTGTGAGATCTTTTATGCACATTAAGACGGGATTTAAAAGGAAACATTTCCCGCACTCAGTACAGGAGAAGCTCTTTCCTGTTGGAAGGCTGGCCCAGGTCCCGCACAGTCTGAGGTTCCTCAGGATACGAGGAATCCGATGGTCCATCTACACTGGGTGGTGCCGGATGGACATTGGAGGGAGTCGGGGGTTTTCTCCTGGACTATACTGTGTGATGTCCTCATCTTCTACTTTCCAGTCTGGAGACAAAGTGAGACAATCCTCGGAGGTTTTCCTCATCTCCCGGCCATGGACTAAAATACAAAGACAAAGAGGATTACTAGACAGGAGCTGATTGGTTCCCCCAAACCAGGACTCCGCCCACATCAGGCAGCTTGGTCTCTGAGGAGCTTACAATTCCACCCTCAAGGGAACTAGGAAATGGCTCCTCTGATCTCCTACCAGGTCATTTCTTTATTCATGGACCTTAGTCAGAGAGTGAGGAAACAACCAGAACTGTCTTTTATAGGAGGGACAGTGATGAGGGGATTATAGGATGAGGGTCCCCACCCCCTCTATCACTCATCACCATCTTCCCAACACAAGAAGTACTGCACTTCCTTATTTAGTCCATGATTTAGTCATGAAGAACAGCGGGGCTGAGCCCCACCAGAGGTCAGAGAGTGAGGATGGGGGGAGAACAACCAAGATGAAGACTGGACTGATCCTGAAGACCACCATCATTGGGGTATTGACTCCTCCCTCATTATCACTTTCTGTTTAAGGGTCCAAAGTTGAAGGATGTTATCACATTATTATCACCATGTAAAAGTCTGTGCTCCAATCACATCATCCGATATAAAATGTCCAGCTGGTAGGAAATGGGTGCAAAACAGGACCTACTGTACATAATGTGTACAACTTATTATATAGGATACAACAACAGTTAGAAGTATACAATACCAGAATAATGTAATGTACAACATGGAGTGCAGGGGTCAAGACTCTATAACATGCAACTTGTACATTTGTGCTCAAAAGTTTGCCTGCCCTGGCAGAAAATGGTGAGATTTGGGCTCTGATAGTGAAAATCTGACTGATCATGCCAAAAACTGTCTTTTATTTATGGATGGTGACGGGGCGGGGGTACTGACCATTTGGAAACCTCGGGCTCTGCCCAAGGGCCCGGGGTCAGTCAGGGGGAAATTTATTTATCACTTAGGGGCCCCATGAGATGCCCCTGGTACCTTTTTCATAGACTTTTTTGAGTTTGCAATTTTTGGGGAAAAATATACTTTAATGGATTTTAAAGCACAAAAACACAATATAATACCCAATTATTTGGTAGGATATAAAAGATGATGTTAGGCCAAGTAAATAGATACCAAACATGTCATGCTTTAAAATTGCATCCCCCTAAAAATCTCCATAGGCAATGCCTTTACAAGTTACCAGTTTAAAGTTACTCCGGAGGTCTAGCAGTAAAATGATTGCTCTCATTCTGAGATTTGCAGTGATACTTCACATGTGCACTGTGCGATTTACATATACGTTTAGGTTCTATGTGTGCATGTGTGCATTTGCGCATGAGCATGGGGCGCTTTCATTTTTTAAATTGCTTTTTTATTTACTTTTTTTTGCAGATCTCTGCCCCCTTTTTTGACAGCTCAAACAAGCTTTATAAATTCTGTACTTTTAATGGATGTAGAGAAGAGAATACTGCAGATAAATAGGTACAACTTATGTTGGAGGATTTGTTTCATCTCTGTGTATTACCTGAGGTCAGGCACTTCATTGGGTATATACAGTCATGGCCGAAATTGTTGGCACCCTTGATATTTTTCCTGAAAATCAAGTATTTCACACAAAAAAGGTATTGCATTAACACATGTTTTTGCTATACACATGTTTATTCCCTTTGTATGTATTGGAACAAAATATATATAAAACAGAGGCAGAAAAGCAAATATGACATAATGTCACACAAAACCCCAAAAATGGGCTGGACAAAAGTATTGGCACCCTTAACTTAATATTTGGTTGCACACCCTTTGGAAAACATAAAAACTGAAATCAGTCGCTTCCTATAACCATCAATAAGCTTCTGACACCTCTCACCCGGAATTTTGGACCACTCTTCCTTTGCAAACAGCTCCAGGTCTCTCTTATTGGAAGGACACCTTTTCCCAACAGCAATTTTAAGATCTCTCCACAGGTGTTCAATGGGATTTAGATCTGGGCTCATTGCTGGCCACTTCAGAACTCTCCAGCGCTTCTTTGCCATCCATTTCTGAGTGCTTTTTGACGTATGTTTGGGGTCATTGTCCTGCTGGAAGACCCAGGTTCTTGGACGCAAACCCAGCTTTCTGACACTGGGCCCTACAGTGCGACCCAAAATCCTTTGGTAAAAGCCTCAGATTTCATGATGCCTTGCACACAGTCAAGGCACCCAGTGCCAGAGGCAGCAAAACAACCCCAAAACATCATTGAACCTCCACCATATTTTACCGTAGGTACTGTGTTTTGTTCTTTGTAGGCCTCATTCCGTTTTCGGTAAACAGTAGAATGATGTGCTTTACCGAAAAGCTCTATCTTGGTCTCATCTGTCCACAAGACGTTTTCCCAGAAGGCTTTTGGCTTACTCAAGTACATTTTGGCAAACTGTAGTCTTGCTTTTTTATGTCTCTGTGTCAGCAGTGGGGTCCTCCTGGGTCTCCTGCCATAGCGTTTCATTTCATTTAAATGTCGACGGATAGTTTCGCGCTGACACTGATGCTCCCTGAGCCTGCAGGACAGCTTGAATGTCTTTGGAACATGTGTTTGGGGCTGCTTATCCACCATCCGGACTATTCTGCGTTGCAATCTTTCATCAATTTTCCTCATCCGTCCACGACCAGGGAGATTAGCTACAGTGCCATGGGTTGCAAACTTCTTGATAATGTTGCGCACTGTGGACAAAGGCAAATCTAGTTCTCTGGAGATGGACTTGTAACCTTGAGATTGTTGATATTTTGCCACAATTTTGGTTCTCAGGTCCTCAGACAGTTCTCGTCTCCTCTTTCTGTTGTCCATGCTTAGTGTGGCACAGACAGACACACACATGCAAAGGTTAAGTGAACGTCTCTCCTTTTTATCTGCTTTCAGGTGTGATTTCTATATTGCCCACACCTGTTACTTGCCCCAGGTGAGTTTACAGGAGCATCACATGCTTGTAACATTCTTATTTATCCGCAGTTGTGAAAAGGGTGCCAAATACTTTTGTCCAGCCCATTTTTGGAGGTTTGTGTGACATTATGTCGAATTTGCTTTCTTTCCTCCCTTTTTTTGTTTTGTCCCAATACACACAAAGGGAATAAACATGTGTATAGCAAAACATGTGTTAATGCAATACGTTTCGTGAGAAATACATGATTTCCTGGAGAAATATCAAGGGTGCCAACAATTTCGGCCATGACTGTAGAAGGGTTTACAACCACTTTAAATGTTTTCTTGCTGCCTCCCATCTCCTGAGACTGCACTCAGTGACTTGGGTCTGAGACTATACAGACATATCCCTCCACCCGGCACAGCCAGCAGATAACAGAGAAGGTACCCTGGGAGAATTGTTCTGTCAGAGATCTTACTAGACCCGGGCATGGGGAAGGAGACCCAAATCATATGTCCAGGTGCCTAGGTCGGCAATGCTTATGGCAGAAATGAACATTTTGCTGCCAGCTGAACCCCCATAATTTCCATAAATCCAGTCTAGATACATAAATTGTGTCTGCAGCACAGAGACGGAAGAAGATTATATCCGAGAGAAATCCAGGAATACAGGACGGGGAACACAGCTCAGGAAAGTGACCAGGGGATTACAGGCAGATATCACCCAGTCCCCCCCTACTCTGGACCAATCAGTGAGCAGTATGGGTGGAGGAATGGATTTAGTGTTCATGACCCACCTGTGCTGATCTCTGTAGGAGTGTCCTCCTCTATAAATGTCCCCGTTATTCCATCCTCCTCCATAGACTGCTGATCATCCCTCACATACGCCTCTTCTTCTTCTACTTTAACCACTTGCCTACCGGGCACTTATACCCCCTTCCTTACCAGGCCAATTTTCAGCTTTCAGCACTGCCGCACTTTGATTGACAATTGCGCGGGTCATGCAACATTGTACCCATATGAAATTTTGATCATTTTTTTCTCACAAATAGAGCTTTCTTTTGGTGGTATTTAATCGCCACTGGGCGCTTTACTTTTTGTGCTATAAATAAAAAAAAGTGCAAAAAATTTGAAAAAAGAAAAAAAAATTTCTTTGTTTCTATTATAAAATTTTTCAAACAGGTATTTTTTCTCCTTCACTGATGTGCGTTGATGAGGCAGCACTGATGGGCACTGATAGGCGGCACTGATGGGCACTGATAGGCAGCACTAAAGGGCACTGATAGGCAGCACTAATGAGGTGGCACGGATAGGCGGCACTGATAGACAGCACTAATGAGGTGTCACAGATAGGCGGCACTAATATGCAGCACTGATAGGCGGCACTGATAGGTGACACTGATGATGGATACTGATAGACAGCACTGACTGGCATCACTGCATGGCACTGACTTGCGGCACTGACTGGCACAACCCCTGGGCACTGACTGGCAGCACTGCTGGGCTGCACTGGTGGGTGGGCACAGGTGGGTGGCACTGGTGGGTGGGCACAGGTGGGTGGCACTGGTGGGCACAGGTGGGTGGGCACAGGTGGGTGGCACTTCTGGGCACAGGTAGGTGGCACTTCTGGGCACAGGTGTGTGACACTGCAGAGTGGCACAGGTGGGTGCACTGCTGGGCACAGGTGGGTGATCTGCTGGGCACAGGTGGGCGGAGCTAGTGGGCGCACTGCTGGGCACAGGTGGGCGGAACTTGCGGGTGGCACTGCTGGGCACCGATCATCAGGGCACTGATCATCAGTGTCCTGATGATCGGTGCCGATCCCGGCTGTGACAACTGCCGGTTCTCGGCAGTACTTTCCTCACGAACCGGCACTTGCATTTCCCTGTGATCAGCGTGTCATTGGACACCGCTGATCACGTGGTAAAAGGCCGCTGGGATCGGCCTTTTACCACATCACATGATCAGCTGTGTCTGTAGGACACAGCGATCACGGAGATCGCCGGGTGTGCGCCCCCTGGGGCGCACAGGAGAGCGCGTTCTGGGGGGGACGTCATATGACGTCCACCCAGAACTGGCCGGCCGCAGTGAAGCCGTCATTCGGCTATCTGCGGTCGGCAACTAGTTAACCTCAACTTTTATATATCTATCAGATCTTCACCCTAAACCAAGAGAATGATAGAAGAGGTCACCTGGAAAATATAAGTTTCAATATTGTGACATCCACACTTGAAAAATATTCACACATTACCTCGATCAGTCCATGTTCTAAATGCTCCGTCCCACCAACCTTGTAATGATGAGGGATGGTGTGACCCTTCCTGTGTGGAATCCCGGGAATACAGAGGACGAGGACATCTCTCTGGTGGGTTTCTATAGCTGGATGACTCCACCATGGTGTCCTGGTACAGATCTTTGTGTTCTTTTAGAAGCTCTGACTCCTCCATCCCCCCATCTTCACCCTCCTCCTTTTTTATCTCTTCTTTGACATCTACTTTAGAATCTCTCAGGTTTGCACTCTGAATATATAATAAAAAATGACATCAATGGTAACAATGCAGATAATGTACAGATCCTAATGATACTATCAGTGATTGTTCCTCATCTACCTGATGATGGTGAGGGATGGTGTGACCTTCCTGTGTGGAATCCCGGGAATACAGAGGACGGGGACATCTCTCTGGTGGGTTCCCATGACTGGATCCATCTGTAGGAAACACACACACTGACTGAATCCATTGTTTCTATGTGTTTATCAGATGATGGGGGATCTAGGTGGATCCTCCGTACTGCTCTCTCCTTTACAATAAAGTCTCCTCTTACCCGGTGATGTGAGGGGCGGCTGATTGTCCATCATGACGTCCTTGTAGAGATCCTTGTGTCCTTCTAAATACTCCCACTCCTCCATGGAGAAATAGACAGTGACACCCTGACACCTTATAGGAACCTGACACACACAATGATACAGTCACCATCCAGACACATCCCTTGTCTGTTACTGGAGAATGTCCCAGAATTCCCGGCACCGCTCACCTCTCCTGTCAGCAGCTCCATCATCTTCTTGGTGACTTCTAGGATCTTCTGCATGTTGTGTCTCTCAGGGTTTAGGGAGTCACATGGAGGCACTGTGATGGTCATATGATCACCTGACTTCAGAAGAGGAAATCTCTGTATTGAGGAACCAATAGGAATATTATGTTAGACTCCCAGAATCCTCCTCACCTCTCCGGTCAGGTCTGTGTTTTATTAACCTTTACCCCGCCCGGTCTATGGCCAGATGGCGGCCGGCAAAATTCCTCAGCATTCCGGGTGGACGCCATATGGCATCCCGGGCATGTGCAGTTTGTGCGCTTGCAGAGCCACGCCGCGGCGCAATCTGTCACCGGCCGTGTACCTTGGACACGGCTGATGACAGATCTGAGTACCGACCCCGTTGCCGGTACCATGTGACCTGCTGTGACAAATCACAGCAGGTCACATGACAGTTGTATACAATGGATGGCTTCATTCATGCCATCCAATGTATACAAGTGTGTCTAGCTGTGAATGGTCACAGCAATCACATGCACAAGCTGAGCCAATCACAGCCCAGCTGTGTCATGTGATTAGCCGTGGCCAAATCACAGCTAAGCACAAAAAAAAAAAAGCCCTGAATGAATCAATGTCATTCAGGTAAATGCTTGCTTATAGCAAAGTAATTCTTTGCTATAATTACTTTACTTATAGCAAAGTAATTCTTTGCTATAAGCAAATTGTGTAAAAAAAAAAAAAAAAAAAAAGAAAAAAACAAAAATACTGATCACTTCCCCAAGTAGTACAATGTTACTATGGTAACATTGTACTACTTTGGTCATAGTGAAATATGAAAAAAAAAATCTTAAAAAAAAGAACAAAAATGTAATAAAAAAAATAAAAAAAATATATATTTTTTTATACTGTCACCAGTCAGTGTCCCTGTTCACCGCCATGCCAGTTATATGATGACGCTGTACTGCACTGGTGACAGTATGTAAAAAAAAAATAGTGAAAATAATTTTTTTAATTTTTTCATTTTCCGAAAAATTCTGACAAAAAAAATACAACTTCAAAAAACTTGCCATGCCTCTTATGAAGTACGTCGGACTGTCTACTTTGCAAAAAGGGGTCATTTGGGAGATATCTGTACTGTTCTGACATTGGGGGATATCTGTAACATCCTGACATTTGGGGGATATCTGTAACATCCTGACATTTGGGGGATATCTGTACCGTCCTGACATCTGGGGGATATCTGTACCGTCCTGACATTTGGGGGATATCTGTACCGTCCTGACATTTGGGGGGATATCTGTAACATCCTGACATTTGGGGGATATCTGTACCGTTCTGACAATTGGCGGATATCTGTACCGTCCTGACATTTGGGGGATATCTGTACCGTCCTGACATTTGGGGGATATCTGTACCGTTCTGAAATTTGGGGGATATCTGTACCGTCCTGACATTTGGGGGACATCTGTACCGATCTGACATTTGGGGGACATCTGTACCGATCTGACATTTGGGGGATATCTGTACTGTCCTGACATTTGGGGGATATCTGTACCGTCCTGACATTTGAGGTATATCTGTACTGTCCTGACATTTGGGCGATATCTGTACTGTCCTGACATTTGGGGGATATCTGTACTGTCCTGACATTTGGGGGATATCTGTACTGTCCTGACATTTGGGGGATATCTGTACTGTCCTGACATTTGGGGGATATCTGTACTGTCCTGACATTTGGGGGATATCTGTACTGTCCTGACATTTGGGGGATATCTGTACCGTTCTGACATTTGGGGGATATCTGTACTGTTCTGACATTTGGGGGATATCTGTACCGTGCTGACATTTGGGGGATATCTGTGCCGTCCTGACATTTGGGGGATATCTGTGCAACATTTGGGGGATATCCTAACATTTGGGGGATATCTGTACCGTTCTGACATTTGGGGGATATCTGTACCGTGCTGACATTTGGGGGATATCTGTACTGCGCTGACATTTGGGGGATATCTGTACTGTCCTGACATTTGGGGGATATCTGTACCGTCCTGACATTTGGGGGATATCTGTACCGTTCTGAAATTTGGGGGATATCTGTACCGTCCTGACATTTGGGGGACATCTGTACCGATCTGACATTTGGGGGATATCTGTACTGTCCTGACATTTGGGGGATATCTGTACCGTCCTGACATTTGAGGTATATCTGTACTGTCCTGACATTTGGGCGATATCTGTACTGTCCTGACATTTGGGGGATATCTGTACTGTCCTGACATTTGGGGGATATCTGTACTGTCCTGACATTTGGGGGATATCTGTACTGTCCTGACATTTGGGGGATATCTGTACTGTCCTGACATTTGGGGGATATCTGTACCGTTCTGACATTTGGGGGATATCTGTACTGTTCTGACATTTGGGGGATATCTGTACCGTGCTGACATTTGGGGGATATCTGTGCCGTCCTGACATTTGGGGGATATCTGTGCAATCCTAACATTTGGGGGATATCTGTACCGTTCTGACATTTGGGGGATATCTGTACCGTGCTGACATTTGGGGGATATCTGTACTGCGCTGACATTTGGGGGATATCTGTACTGTCCTGACATTTGGGGGATATCTGTACCGTGCTGACATTTGGGGGAAATCTGTACTGTCCTGACATTTGGGGGATATCTTTACCGTGCTGACATTTGGGGGATATCTGTACAGTCCTCACATTTGGGGATATCTGTACCGTCCTGACATTTGGGGGATATCTGTACTATTCTGACATTTGGGGGATATCTGTACTGTCCTGACATTTGGGGGATATCTGTACTGTTCTGACATTCTTGGACCTCAAGAAATTAGATTGGCTGTCAGTACTTCAGGATTGATCAATATTCAGATCTATTCCATAGTTTGTGAACTCTATAACTTTCCTACAAACTAAATAATACATCCTAATTTGGGTTATTTTCACCAAAGACATGTAGCAGAATACATCTCGGCCTAAATTTATGAAGAACAATTATTTATTTGCAAACTTTTATAACAGAAACAAAGAAAAACTTGTTTTTTTTTTCAAAATTTTCAGTCTTTTTTTGTTAATTTAGCAAAAAAATAAAAACCCCAGTGATGATTAAATACCACCAAAAGAAAGTTCTAGTTGTGTGAAGAAAATGATAAAATTTTAGTTTGGGTACAATGTGGTATGACCGCGCAATTGTCATTCAAAGTGTGAGAGCGCTGAAACCTGAAAAATGGCCTGGGCAGGAAGGGGGTAAAATTGCCCGGTATGGAAATGGTTAATAGACATAAGAGTGATGTCATGAGACCTCCCAGAATCCTCCTCACCTCTCCGGTCAGGTCTGTGTTTTATTGATAGAGATGAGAGTGATGTCATGTGACTTCCCAGAATCCTCCTCACCTCTCCGGTCAGGTCTGTGTTTTATTGATAGAGATGAGAGTGATGTCATGTGACCTCCCAGAATCCTCCTCACCTCTCCGGTCAGGTCTGTGTTTTATTGATAGAGATGAGAGTGATGTCATGCGACCTCCCAGAATCCTCCTCACCTCTCCGCTCAGGTCTGTGTTTTATTGATAGAGATGAGAGTGATGTCATGTGACCTCCCAGAATCCTCCTCACCTCTCCGCTCAGGTCTGTGTTTTATTGATAGAGATGAGAGTGATGTCATGTGACCTCCCAGAATCCTCCTCACCTCTCCGGTCAGCAGGTAGATGATCTCCAGGGTGAGGTTTAGTATTCTCTCAGTCATGTGACTCCGGTCCTCCTCCATCCTCATTGATGTGGTCATGTGATCTATGGGGGTGTCTCTGTAGATGGATAGCAGAGAATTATCTGGACTGTATTGGTTGTACAATATTAGGAGGGGGATCTAAGGGGTTAATAGATGGGCTGCCTCCAGTGGGAATTGGAACATATAGATAATGTTACAAAGTGTTTATCATGTTTCTTGCAAACCTTTACTTGGTCTGCTTTGTCCAACAGAAGTAGAAACTGCAATTTATTTATTTTTTTAATATCAGAAAAAAGTTATTTTCTCCTTGTCCTTTGACTGGAAACAGATATATTTGTGTGAAGCACCAACAGGCCTAAATGCCGAGTCAGAAGCTGCAGACATCACAGGGGGTCCCTATACCTGGTGGGGGGTCTGAGAGCAGCCATGATGTCAGTACATTGGAGCTGGTGATAGTGGAAGGTATTGAGGAGCCAAATGTACCCGGTTCAGTCTGGTTTGTAAACAGAGCGATCTGGGATTCTTGTATCCATACCGGACCCTTGTCCAAGATGAGGATCTGCTATACATGGTAATAGAGGACTTCCAACAAAAAAAATCAAAACTGTGCAGGGTTTCCCTTACATGATCTGTTTCCAGTGACTACTCACCATGAATGACAACTCGCAGTGACTATGGAGGAAGAGGACAGGCATGACGATGGAGGAAGAAGATGGACATGATGATGGAGGAAGAGGACAGACATGACTATGGAGGAAAAGGGTGGACATGACGATGGAGGAAGAAGATGGACATGACGATGGAGGAAAAGGGTGGACATTAAGATGGAGGAAGAAGACGGGCATGACGATGGAGAAGACGATGGAGAAAAAGGACAGACATGACGATGGAGGAAAAGGACAGACATGATGATGGAGGAAGAAGGACATGACGATGGAGGAAGAAGATGGACATGACGATGGAGGAAGAAGACGGACATGATGGAGGAAGAAGACGAACATGATGGAGGAAGAAGACGGACATGATGGAGGAAGAAGACGAACATGATGGAGGAAGAAGACGGCCATGACAATAGAGGAAGAAGACGAACATGACAATAGAGGAAGAAGACGGACATGACGATGGAGGAAGAAGACGGACATGATGGAGGAAGAAGACGTGCATGACGATGGAGAAGAAGACGGACATGACTGTGGAGGAAGAGGACGGACATGACGATGGAGGAAAAGGATGGACATGACGATGGAGGAAGAGGACGGATAGGATGATGAAGGAAAAGGATGGACATCATGATGGAGGAAAAGGATGGACATGACGATGGAGGAAGAGGATGGACATTATGATGGAGCAGACATGATGATGGAGGAAGAGGACGTACATGACAGGGGTTACTGGGTGTACATAGGAAATAACATCTAATTACCTCTTCTGCTGCCAGTTCCACCGTCTCCTCTCTACTTCCTGTCTGTACCTGTCATTACTTCCTGTCTGTACCTGACATCACTTCCTATCTTCCATAGAGACTTCCTGTCTGGGTAGAAGTGAGATTACGGCCTTGTGGAGCTCAGAGGAACTGCAGCCCTGAGAAATATCTCATAGTGTGATCACAGCCTTGGGCTATGTGTTCTGAATGTTTTCTTATCGTATATGTCCTTTATATATTCCTTTGTGGGGAAGTTACAGACCTGGTTTATCCAATCTCATCCGTATGATGGCAATCAGCCTATTAAATCCTCCATAACTAAGCAGCAATGTCCCGAGGATTACATCTTTCTCAAGCATTATAACAAAATAACTATTGATATTATTATCTATGTCTGGGACCATGGCTGGATCTGGTGTTGACTTGCCACATGAAATATTCTCATCTATAACATTTACGTTACACTAGTGATAAAGAAATATATCTCTATGTGAAGATCAATTCAGACGATGATAGCGTGAAGAGGGATTTATTTGTGAGAACATTGTATAAATACTCAATTTTTAGATATCAAAGTTTCCATCCGAATACCTTGTATGAGGGATTCCTAGATCACAGATGATGAGTGTAGACCGTATAGTAGGAACCCAAATCCATGGCACCGCTCCAACCTGCACCTCCTAATGACCACGGATCATCCAGGTGATAGCACTTGTAGCCCATCTCCTCTCCAACATGAAAATATAGGAAGATGGAGAGTCACACTCTGCAATGAGCTCATTCTTCATATTTCATTCTGTTGATGATGAAGTAACTGCATACATATAGTCTCCTCCCGAAAAACCACACTCCCTAAACACGTTTCACCATAATTGGCTCATTCACATAGAGTTGGGTTGGGGCTACTCTATCCTTGTGAACGAGCCCATTGGGGTGAAATGCAGAATAAAATATGAAGAATGGGCTGATTATGGAGCGTGTCTCTTCATCTTCTTGTAGACGGTATAGTCACAGATCTCAGGAGAAATCAGGAGAGATTGGATGTGATGAATGATACCTTCCAATGGAGAGGATTTCCATCAGAATTGTTTAACCTCACTCCATAAACTATAGACAAAAATCTGAAAAAAGGACAGAGTGTTAGAAGGAATGTAGGGGTTCCCTTTGTGACCTGATATAGTTCCCTGAGATTTGGTAGGATTATCCAAGTGAAATGATAGAACCATTTTTATGAGAGTGTCATGAATGGTGGTACCAAAGATACGGGTATGTGGGATACCAGCTGGCATCCAAGGTATTGTCCTCCATTGTGCCACCTTGGAACGCAATAGATTGTTTCTAGAACCCCAGTGGAGAGAGGGCAGAGAACAGGGCTCACCATTAGCAGGACAAATGACAGGGGTCACCACTGGCAAGAGAGAGGACTAGGAACTCTGGTGGCAAGAGAGAAGACAGGGGTCACTGCTGGCAAAAGGGAGAACAGGGGTCACCAATGGCAGAACAGAGGGCAGGGTCAAAACTAGAAGGACAAAGGACAGGGGCCACCACTGGCAGGACAGAGGACAGGGGTCACTGCTGGCAGGAGAGAGGACAGAGATCACTGCTGAAGAAGGAGGACAGATTTTTATTTAACAGGACAGGGGTATAAAAAACAGTCATTTTAACATATAAGGTTTTTTTACATATATTTTTAAATGTTTTAAATGCATTCCAAAAATGTAGATTTGTATTTTTAAAGACATATAGTATATTTGAAATGTATTTTTAAAAATATTTTTCATATATTTTGTAATAAAAATGCATTTCAACATACAGTATATATATATATATAGATATATCTCAGGGCTGCAGTTCCTCTGAGCTCCACAAGGTGGGGATCTCACTTCTACCCAGACAGAAAGTCTCTATGGAAGACAGGAAGTGATGTCAGGTACAGACAGGAAGTCTCTATGGAAGACAGGAAGTGATGTCAGGTAAACAGGAAGTGATGTCAGATACAGACAGGAAGTGATGTCAGGTACAGACAGAAGTTTCATTAATGAGGAAATAGAAAGGAGACTCTGTTGGATCTGGCAGCAGAGAAGGTAATATGTAGATTAATCCCTTCAGAGGGATGAGTTGATGATAATATATCTTGCTCCCAAAGCTGGCCTACATGGTTCAGTTTTATCGTTCTACAAGGACGTCATGATGGACAATCAGCCGCCCCTCACATCACCGGGTAAGAGGAGACTTTATTGTAAAGGAGAGAGCAGTACGGAGGATCCACCTAGATCCCCCATCATCTGATAAACACATAGAAACAATGGATTCAGTCAGTGTGTGTGTTTCCTACAGATGGATCCAGTCATGGGAACCCACCAGAGAGATGTCCCCATCCTCTGTATTCCCGGGATTCCACACAGGAAGGTCACACACCATCCCTCACCATCATCAGGTAGATGAGGAACAATCACTGATAGTATCATTAGGATCTGTACATTATCTGCATTGTTACCATTGATGGCATTTTTATTATATATTCAGAGTGGAAACCTGAGAGATCCTAAAGTTGAGGTTAAAGAAGAGATAAAAGAGGAGGATGATGAGGATGGGGTGATGGAGGAATCAGAGTTTCCTAAAGGACACACAGATCTGTACCAGGACACCATGGTGGAGTCATCCAGCTACAGGAACCCACCAGAGAGATGTCCCCGTCCTCTGTATTCCCGGGATTCCACACAGGAAGGTCACACCATCCCTCACCATCATGAGGTAGATGATGACAATTATTGGTAGTTGTGATTTATACACAGCATGTTTGTTACAATGAATGTTTTATTATATCTTTCAGAGTGGAATCCTCGGGGATGATAATATTGATGTTAAAGAAGAGTATAAAGAGGAGGATGAGGAGTATGGAGTGATGGAGGAGTTCTCAGAAGGAGACAAGGATATGATGGAGCCACCTAATACCAGGAACCCACCAGAGAGATGTCCCCGTCCTCTGTATTCCCAGGATTCCACACAGGAAGGTCACACCATCCCTCACCATCATCAGGTAGATGAGGAGCAATCACTGATAGTTATGATTTATACACAAGTATGTTTGCTACAATAAATGTTTTTATATTTTTCAGAGTGGAAACTTCGGGGACTATAATATTGTTAAGGAAGAATTTAAAAAGGAGGATGAGGAGTATGGAGTGATGGAGAAGTCCTCAGAAAATCACAAGGATATGATGGAGCCACCTAATACCAGGAACCCACCAGAGAGATGTCCCCGTCCTCTGTATTCCCGGGATTCCACACAGGAAGGTCACACCATCCCTCAAAATTACAAGGTTGGTGGGACGGAGTATCTAGAGCATGGACTTGTTGAGACAATTTGTGCATTTTTCATGTGCGTTTATATTTTACCAATGATTTTGTTCTTGGTTTAGGGTGAAGATCTGATAGATATAAAAGTTGAGGTTAAATCAGAAGAAGAAGAAGAGGCGTATGTGAGGGATGATCAGCAGTCTATGGAGGAGGATGGAATAACGGGGACATTTATAGAGGAGGACACTCCTACAGAGATCAGCACAGGTGGGTCATGAACACTAAATCCATTCCTCCACCCATACTGCTCACTGATTGGTCC